CCTGCATGCCAGAAGAGGGCACCAGATCTCATTAGGGATGGTTGTGAGCCACCATACAGTTGCTGGGAATTGAACTCAGAACCTCTGGAAGAGCAGCAGTCAGTGCTCTTAACTGCTAAACCATTTCTCCAGAGAGATTTTTTTGTTTTGTTTTGTTTTGTTAGGAGACAAGCTCTCTCTCTGTAGCTTTGGAGCCTGTCCTGGAAGTAGCCCTTGTATAACAGGCTGGCCTCGAACTCACAGAGATCTGCCTGCCTCTGCCTTCTGAGTGCTGGGATTAAAGGAGTGCCTCACCACCACCCGGGTACAAGAGAGATTTTTAAAATATTAAAAGGGCCCAGGCTTTTGGACTGTGATGTCCTCAGGTAAACCAGAAAGCAGGCGGCCTATTTGTCAGGACCACAGATCCTTTGTCCTGGGTTATGTATGAACGTCAGGAAAGGAAGGTGATGTAATGTGGAACTCACAGGGATACTTGGAGGGGCTTTTACTATTTTCTCTCAGTGCCCACTCATTCATTCACATGGATTCTCTAACCTTGGTCCCCCACGGGTCAGCATCCACATCTTGTCGTTGGTAGTAGTAAGCAGCCCCGGCCACATGGGCTGCAGTCTGGGCTAGAATCTAAGGGCGACGGTTGGGGTGGACCTCATAGTCAGCAATGACTTCTATTTGCAGTTCTGGAAACTTCTGGAACAGAATAAGGGGCTCCTGTTAGCATGATGGGAGTCACGACTGTTCCACGAAGGCCTAAGATGTGTATTAACATGGTCCTGTCTCATAAGTCCATGGTTTGGTTTTTTGAGACAGGGTCAGAATGGCCTTGAACTTGCTATAATTGCAAAGATGATAATCTTGCCTTTACCTCCCTATTGTTGGGACTCTCCATTAAAAGCCATATTTCAAGGGAAAACCTAACTTTAACCTAAGAAGCTAAGTGAAGGAAGTTGAAGTTCTCTGCCCTCTCAGAAAGGCTTGTGCAGGAAGGGAAATACAAAAGATCTTGCCCAGAAGCCTCTATTATCAGGAGTTATTGAGCCTTGTCTTGCACAAATCTAGGGTGGGTAGATTATAGAATTTATATGTACAAATTTATGTGTATATAAATGAGTAGAGGCTGGAAAATTCAATTCTGACTTCAAAAGGCTCAGAAGACAGCACAGAGCTTGTAAGCACAGAACAAAGCATAAAAGATGTAGGATTTACTCATATTCCAATTAGAGATTAAAACTAGTATGAGGTTCACAGGTGTCCGTTAGTGTAGTCACCCACGCAACTGACTTCAGATGGGAAGTCTGCTAAAGGAAAGGGTGAAACCCGGGTATGAGAAGGCAGAACAGGAAGTAGTTACAGAATGTTACAGCTCCTAACTCTAAGCCTAGACCCTGCACTGAGCTTGATCAACAGGGAAGCAGCGGCAGGACTGGGAGTTGAAGGGAAGTTGAGCCTCACCTCGGTAACACTTCTCAGGTAGTAGGACACGCACTGATCCACAGGGTCTCTCAGCGGTTGGGGCTGGTAGCTCTTTAAGAAGGGTTTGAGGGCTTTGTCAAACATAGCAGGTGTGCTGAGTACCAGGAAGGCCAGGGTAGGTCCTGGGAAGGGCAAGTGGAAGGCTGGAGGCAGGAGTTCATTGTACCATCCCACCTGGAACACAGAAAATTCAGGTCTGATTGGCAAGGAGTTTGGGCCTTAACCAGGCCCATATCTTGGCTTTGTATTCAAGGGTTCATACATTCTGCAAACATGTCCATTTCATTTATTCAAAGAATTCAGTGATGCTATGTCATGTATGCATAGTAAACTTGTATGGGCAATGTGTCTGCAATCGGCAGGGACTTAGCCTAGGAAGGAGTTTATGAACAAACAAGAATAAACAGAAAGTGAAGTACACTTATAACCAGTCCTATGGCAGACCAGATTAGAATTCTAACATTCGAAAGAAACCCAACTCCAGTCTAGGGGGCTGGTGAGGAAACTGAAGGTTGATGTGGGGGATAGAGAATCTGTTGTCTGTTTGTTTATTTAAGACAGGGTCTCGCTATGTATCTTTGCCAGGTAAAAATGCACTCAGTCCTGGTAGAAGGGGAGAAAGGAAGAAGGGAGGGGAGCAGAGAAAAATGTATAGCGCAATAAAAGCAATAAAAAAAAACATGCACTTGGCTCACTGGGCTGTGGTGGCACACACCTTTAATCCCAGCCCTGTGGGGGAAGGGGGTGGCAAAGAGGCAGGTGGATTTCTGAGTTAGAGGCCAGCCTGGTCCACAGAGTGAGTTCCACGACAGCCAGGACTAAACAGGGAGACCCTGTCTCTAAACACTAAAGAAAAAAAAGAGAGAAGAAAACAAAAACAAAGAAAAGAAATAAATGTACTAAGCACGTTGGAGAAGAGCAGACTATCTGGTCTGGTGGAAGGGAAGGGTCTGCACTACTTAGAAGTGGGGTTGTGCCTGGCCTTAAGTGACAACTTAAAACAATGACTCCAATTTGGTGACAAAGAGGAACCACTTAACTTAAAAGAGTAAAGTGGCCGATCGTTTAGAAAGACCTGGTTTCAGTGTAGAGAATGGATTGGAGGCAAGATGGGAGCAAGGAGACTATGCTAATCCTATTGAGAGAACTGTTCTGGCATACAGGATAGGTTGTCGGGCTGAAAACTACAAGTCTGGAAGATTCAGGGATAGTCATGGTGGCTGCTGGATGTAGAACTGGGAAGGTGGGTAGCAGGACCTGTTGACAGACAGAACTACAGCTAACCATTCAGTGCGTTAGTTTTCATTACCCAGACTTCACACACACACACACACACACACACACACACACACACACACACACTTTTCTTACTCTAGGATGTACACAATCCTCCTTCCTTTCAATCCATCTTTTCGTCAGTTCTTCGTTCTGCTTGTTTTTTGTGCTGGTGCTTGAGATGAAAGCCAGAGCCCTGCCGGTACTAACCCAGCATGCTATCACCGAGTTACAGCCTCAGTTCTCAGTTTCATTCTTTTTCCTCACCGAGCTACATCTTCCATAGGTTCGATTTCATTTTTTCCCCCTTCCTGTAAGTGCTTTTAAGCTAGCCTTAGCTTAGTTCTATAATATAGTACCCTATTCTAAGCCTTGCTGTGGACAGCTCAAGGGAATGGGTGGGAAATGGGAAATCTATAAGATAGGTCTAAGGAGTCAGGATGACTTTAGTTTAGGTTTGTGTCCTAAGCATATCTTGTTCGCTCAGTACTGTGGGAGGAAAGTGTGGGATCAGGCGGGGCTGGGACGGGTGGAGAGGGACGGGAGTCACAGAGACTTCTGTACCAGGCGAGCGTGAGGAATTTCTAAGCTAGTCCTGTATTGATGGCTAGTAACACTATGAATTAGCCTTCTGTTGGCTGACGGAACAAACTAGTCAATTGTGTCTTGTTCGACATCAGGAATACTCTTCTCTCTTCATCTGACCTAATAGCCATGCCAACCTTCCAAACTTTGACCTCTCTCTCTTAACTCCTTTGGAAGCGTCCGGTAATTCCGGTTCCATAGGGGGACATTTTTTCCCGTAAATTACGGAGATGAGAAGTTAGAAATCGTGGGTCGTATCCAATTCATTTGTTTGACAACATAAAGAGGTAAAAGTGTAAACATGTGGCTGTTTATCTTTTTAACCGAGCCCCATTTCACACTACGACTAGGAGAACGGGTCGTTAGATGGCCGCGGTAGGAGGCTGGGTTGGATAAGAAGGGCTCACCGGGCCTCACGGTTTTGCCGCCAAGACCAATCATAGTGCTGGTGCTAAGAACACAGGGAAGACAAACCAACCTGGAAGGGGTAAACCTCGAAGCCAAAAGGACATAAGGTGTCCTCAATCTTCTGCTTCAGTTCTGCGACGTGCGGCTCCATACCGCACGCTGAACGCTGAGCTTGCTGGGAAATGGAGTCTCATAGTTAGTTTGAATTTGTGCGCGTCAAGCCGGGCTGGACTACATTTCCCAGGAGGTAAAGGACCAGTAACGGATTCAATTGACTCTGCACGATGCATTTTGGTATAAATAGTTCCTTCGGTCCTCAGAGCCAAAATATAACAGAGTCTATAAGACTCCATGTCCCGACAAGCTTCACGGGTGTGTGTGTGTGTGTGTATATGTGTGTATGAACGTACGGGGCGCTCCCAGGGAAACGTATTTCCGCCCTCTAGTGCCTGTTGTCTCGGCAAGAAGCGGACTCAGTTTCCCGGGTGTCGCTGCGGCACCCGCTCTTAAATGTCATTCTCCGCCCACCTGAGTTTGAACTTGCCGGCGGTAGTGGCGACTGACAGACTTTGACACAGTTCTAGCGTCCTTGATTTGGGGAGGTTGAAGTCAAGATTCGGCTCATTGTACCCTCATTTGATACCTGTATTTTAGAGTATTCTGCTTTTTCCCCACTTCCCCAAGAACGCGTTCCCTAGTTCCAGATTCGCGGTTTTGCTTTGGTACTACATCAATAGCCTAAGTATCCCCCTCCCACTTTCCTCTTTCCATGTAACACTCTGGCTTTTCCTGGCCTGCACCGCGGATATCTCGGTGTGGGAAGAGTGAGCAGGAACGTAGTCCTCAGTGTTCCAGGATGAATAGGAGACCTAGCTGGTCTGATCAGCTTCATGCAGTTCTCGCTTCAACTGATGAAAATATGTCCCGGATTAAGGTGAGGAGGCACAGGAACCTCCCCTCCCGCCCTCCCAGAGTTCACCCTTCCCTATTGGGAGGCTAGGCTAGGGCATAGGCTAAAGGACACTGAGCGCTCACTGGTTTGTGGAACTGTTTTCTTTTGTAGCAGAGTTTGTATCCTCTACGAGTTTCCTCCACAGGTAAGTGTTGTTCTTTCTCCCAGCCTTTTCTCTTTTCAAGGCCTTCTTCCAGTGCCTGCCTGTATCATCTACGATTCTGTACAAATTCCAGCTACTTCCCGTCTGGAACTCTAGTTTCCTACACAGACAGACCCTGTTCTTGTCCTTTCCTTATTCCTTCAATAGGGGACCTGGCTGACACCTGGATTTCCCCTCATCACTTGCCTCCTCAGCCAGAGGCTCAAGCTCCTCAGCCTTGGGCTCTAAAGACTCCCATTCGTGGAGAGAGACTGAGCTGCTCCGAATGTCACAGCTCATCATCTCTCTGGGATGAAGTCACTAAACTCCGATCCCAGCTTCAGTCTCAGGCTCAGGTGAGGTATTAGGTGTTTGTGTGTGGTGGCAATGTAAAAGAATAATATCAGGATTTGGGGAAATAACTTAGAAAGTAGTTCCTGGCTTTCTCTACTTGGGTAGGTGACTGAGGCTCTAAGGCATGCTGTGCAGAATTTGTTGAAGGATCGGGAGCAGCAGATGAACAAGATCAGTGCTCTAGAAGGTATTGGGCCACTTCTTCTCTTCATGTACAGTATACAGAGTTTTATTTTTTATTTTTTTTAAATATTTAATTATTATGTATACACTATTCTGTCTGTGTGTATGCCTGAAGGCCAGAAGAGGGCACCAGACTCCATTACAGATGGTTGTGAGCCACCACGTAGTTGCTGGGAATTGAACTTAGGACTTTTTTTTTTTTTTGAACTTAGGACTTTTGGAAGAGCAGGCAATGCTCTTAACCTCTGAGCCATGTCTCCAGCCCCAGAGTTTTAAATTAAAACTGGAGTTTTGTGCATGCTGAGCTATGCTCTCCTGCTGATCTACATATAACTTTTGGTTGGGAAGCTTAGCCTTTAGTGGTTGAGCTGTCTCTTCAGCCCCACACAGCTTTATGTATGTACCCACAGTTTTGCTATGTAGCTTTTGCATGTGCGTATGTTTTGATTTTCAACGCTCTTAGGGCAGTCTGCCTTCACTTGTCCCACTACAGCGTCACTGAAATTGCTTCAGGAGGGCCCAAAAGGGAGAGCCCTTCTGGAGCAACGCCTGGAAGGGCTGAGAAAGGAACTACAGGGCCTTCGGAACCAGGTTCAAGAGCTAGTCCAAATCCAAATGAAAACGAGACCGGGAAAGTTCAGTAGTACCAGAGGCTTCCACAAAGAGCTACAGACTGAGTAAGACATCAAGATGGGCAAGACATCTTTTCCATCCTTTCTTCCTTTAAGGTTTATTTCCTGGTGTTGCACACCTTTAATTCTAGGGCTCAGGAGTCAGAGAGTGGCAATTCTTTATGAGTTTGAGACCAGCCTGCTGTACATATTGAGTTGTAGGCCAACTAGGGCCACATAGTGAGACCTTGTCTCAGAAAACCAGGACAAGGGAAAACAATGATGTGTATGTTTTATCTGCATGCATGTTTGTGCAGCACATGCATGTCTGTTGAATCCTCTGGAACTGGAGTTAAAGATGGTTTTGAGCCATCCATGTGGATGCTGGATTTTCTTTAAGAGCAACAAATTCTCATAACCACTGAGCCATCTTTTGAGGCTTCTGAACCCTTGGTATATCAGAAGTTTAGCTTCCTCAATTTATTTTTCTGTGATGTTGAATATTGACCCTTGGCCTTGTTCATGGTAGGTAGACACCCTTAGCATTGGACTGTAATCTCCAGCTACTTTGGGTTTGTTATTTGATTCTAGAATGACATTGCTGTCACTCATGTAGGCACCAGCTTTTGTGGGAAGAGTCAGAGATTCTTCGGGAGGAACTGAAGTTGCTTCGAGACCAGCTGAGTAAGTCCCTTGTCCCTCTTTCTGGAATAGCTTTTTCTTTTTTTTTCCCTAAAGATGTATTTATTTGTTTATTTGTTTATTTATTTATTTATTTATTTATTATGTATACAGTGTTCTGTCTGTATATATGTCTGCAGGCCAGAAGAGGGCACCAGATCTCATTACAGATGGTTGTGAGCCATCATGTGGTTGCTGGGAATTGAACTCAGAACCTCTGGAAGAACAGCCAGTGCTCTTAACCTCTGAGTCATCTCTCCAGCCCCTGGAATATCTTCCAGTAACTGACCAGAGTCTACCTTTTTGAGTTGTTGAAAAGTCTGGCAGACAGGGTCTCTGTATCACTTTGACTATCCTAGAACTTACTGTGTGAACCAGCTGGCTTTGAACTCACAGAAACACACTGTCTCTGCCTCCCAAATGCTGGGATTAAAGGCATATGGTACCACCCCTGGCCAGGCAAATTATTTGTGTTTCTGTGATTTATATATAGTGTGATGCTGGGTATTACATACAGGGCCTTGTACTTGCTATGCATGTACTTCACCACCAAGTTACACCCCTGACCTTTGGCAACATATTCTGGTTTTTGTTTCTCATGGTTTGAATTTAGTCTCTTCTCCTCAGCTTGGAATCTTTCCAGCCACTGGACCAGAACATGTTTGTCTGTTTCTTCTGCCAGTCCAGTTGCAATGCAGTGAAGAAGAAGGAATGAAGTTGGAGAATTGGCCCTCATAGTCTGTCTCATTTTCAGGCCAGCATCAGGAGTTGTTGCTGAAACAGATGGCTGATGGGCGCCAGGTTCAGGCCCGCAGCTGGAAGGTAAGACAGGCTTAGACCAATCTTCACATATTTCTTCATGGAGTCCCCTCCTTCTTGTCTGTCCCGCTCTACAGAAAGATCTAGATATCTTCTCCCACCCCCATCTCAATCCCCATCATCCTTCTGCATGCTGATTCCGTATCCCTCCAAAGCAATTCTCCCAGTCTTTGCTGTAAACATGAGTCACTGACCTCGCCTGTGCCCTGTGCGAAGGCTCTCACGTGCCGAGGAGGGGAGTTTGGGGAGGGAGTTTCCGTTGGAAAGGGAGAGATTTAGTCCTCCTTCTGCATCATGGTCTGGCAGTCCTTGGAACACCTGCAGAGTGACCCGAAGAGCAAGGTTCAGACTTTGGAGGTCACCAGGACAGAGGCTCCTGATGCCCAGAAGGAGGAGCCCTACCTCCTCAGGTCAGAAGTTGTGTGTGCTGTGGCAGTAGAGGGGATTTGTGTCACAGGGGTCAAAGTTCAGCTATCCTAAATTTGGTCAGGATATGAGTATCTGGGGTTGTATTCATAAGAGCGGCAGTGGCAATTTTGGCCAGGATTGGTTGGGGTGATGGGTCTGAGTATCTGGGGTTGAATTCATAAGAACAACAGTGGACATGCTAACTTAGGCTGTCCTTGAACTCCTGATTGTTCTGCTGCTCCCTCCCAAGTGCAGGTGTTACAGGTATATGTTGCTAGACCCAGCTTTTGTTATTTAATTTTTTTATGTCTTTACTCACCTGTATTACTAAAATTTTTTTGTAATCTGTTTATTTAGTCTGCATATGTATAGGCATGTATGTATCATGAAGTACATGTGGAGGTCAGAAGACCAGTAGGAATCACTTCTACCATGTGGGTTTCAGGATCAACCTTAGGTTGCTTGTCTTGACGGAGGGCACATTTATTAGCTGAGCCATCCTGCTGCTCCCAGTGTTAGTTATTCGTCATTTGATTCAGAGCTGGGATATATCTAAGAGTGTGTGAGTGATAATGGGGGAAGCAAGGCGGGAGTCTGGAATCCTCACCTCAGAAAGGAAGACAGGTTTATGCTGGAAGAGTCCTAGATCCATCACTTTCTTTGCCTCTGATTGTTCCTTTTAGGACCTCTGTTCATGCCCGGCAATCTAAGCTGCCTCTGGCCACCATCTTCACCATGTCTCTTTCTTCATCTAGCTCTGAAGTCAGTCTTCCAGACTGTGACCGTAGCTGGGAACTTTTAAGGAAACTAGATAGGGGTAAGGACAGTTCTGGGGGGGCTGCATCTGCATGGTGCCTGAATGCAGCTGTCTGTTGTTGGGCATAGCCCTTTTCTGTGTGAGTCCATCTGCCCTTTTTATATATCACGGAGAGTTAAGCTACTTTATTACTATTTTTTTTAATTTATTTATTATGTATTAGTGTTCTGGGCACAAGATCTCGTTATAGATGGGTGTGAGCCACTATGTAGGGAATTGAACTCAGGACCTCCGGAACAGCAGTCAGTTCTCTTAACCTCTGAGCCATCTCTCCAGCCCACTATTACTATTATTATTTTTTTTTCTTTTTTTTTGGAAACAGGGTTTCTCTCTGTAGCTTTGGAGCCTGCCTTGGCACTCACTCTGTAGACCAGGCTGGCCTCAAACTCACAGAGATCCACCTGCCTCTGCCTCCCAAGTGCTGGGATTAAAGATGTACACGACCACTGCTTAGCAAGCTTCTTTGTTATTTAATATCTATTTAGTGAAAGGCAAAGTATTTATATGATTTGAAGAGAAGCCAAAGTAGTTATTTTAATATTTATTTAAAGGCTAGGTTTTCCTTTGTAGCTCAGGTTTGCTATAGAGCCCAGCCTGCTCTTTAACTCAAAATCTTCCTGCCTCAAGTTCCTGAATGCTAGGATTACAGACAGGTACCACTACATTCCCCATTACATCACTCATTGCAGTTGGGGACAGAAACAGGTCCTCAATGAGAAGCACCTGTTCATGGGCACATACAAACCAGGCCTGTGTGTCCTTTCCAGGATGTCCAGGGCCTGGTTTTATGCACATCACAGTCTCGCTAATGGTTGGTTTGTCATTTGACTTCCTCTTAGAACTTCAGAACACCCTTTCTAGCCTGGAACCCAGCAGATCTCAGTCCCATACCCACAGCCCTGGGCAAGAGGATCTGTTCCTTCAGGGCCCCAAGGTCTTGCGGAGTGACCTGTAAGGACTTGTAAGAAGGATGAGCTAAATGAAGTGTCCACCGGAGGCAGTCTTCTCATCCCCTCTGCTATGTGCCCTCTTTCCTGAGGCATCTCCCTGTCCAGCCATTCCTGCTCCTCAGCTAGTTTAAAATAAAGTGGCTTGGTGTCCCTGGTGTGTTTTCTATGTGTCTTCACCCACATGAGATCGAATCTGCTGGACATTTCCTTCCCACCTCACTTCTTCCTGTGACCTGTGCCTCTGATTTCTGACATTTATAGATACACGTTTGACTCCCTGTTCAGGTGACCTTGGAAAGCAATGATTTCCCCTGGAATGGTGAGTAAATGGGTTCAGATGTTGGTCTGAGGCAGTATTGATGAGATCGCAGAGGAGCGTGTGCTACCCTGGTGGGCACTAGATCTAGGCGGTCACACTGTCAGACTGCTTATTGTAGTGGTATTTCATTTGTATTTTAGTAAATCAAGCTTGTCTGAAGATCAGAGAGTAAAACAAACACCCTGGTCAGCCTCACAGACCACGCAGTGACATCACACACCTTTAATCCAAGTAGCCACACTAGTTTGTCATAGAAACCAGGTAATAGTGGTGCACACCTTTAATCCCAGCCCTAGAGAGGAATACAAGACAGGAGGAGACAGTTCTCAGCCAGTCTCATTCTGAGGATTCCTGGAGGCAGGATCGCCCTATTTGGACTGTAGTAGAGGTAAGAGGCAGTGGCTGGCTGCTTTGCTTTTCTGGTCTTCAGGTTGAACCCCAATATCTGTGTCTGTGTTTTTGTTAATTGTGCTACAGTTTATTGAGATTTACTCCAGATTCTCTACACCTCCTCATCCTTAGCAGCTCAGCCTGTATGGTTGTAGCAGGCTTCTCAGTTTCTGTGAAATTGAGTCATCTTCAAAAATAAACAGACAAACCCCAAAACTTTTTCTTTTTGTTTTGTTTTTAACAGCCCTAGCTGTCCTAGAACTTTGTAGGTCAGGCTGGCCTTGAACTCACAGAAATCTGCCTTCCTATGCCTCTGAAGTGCTGAGATTAAAGGTGACTCGGCCACTGCAGGGCTTATTTATTTCTTTTGAGATAGGATCTCTGTATGTAGCCCTGGCTGTCAGGGAACTTGCTATGTAGACCAGGCTGGCCTTGAATTCACAGAGATCTTTCTACCTCCAGCTTTCCTATTGCTATGATTAAAGGTGTGTACTGCCACACCTAGCAAAAAATAGTTTTATTATAACTTTTATGAAGAAATATAAAATCTTGTGATTCAAATTCTACTATTTTCATTTTTAAAAATTAATTTATGTGTATGGTTATTCTGCCTGCATGTATGTCTGTGCACCATCTATATGTAATGTCCGCAGGGGCCGGAAGAAGGTATCAGATACTCTTGAACTCAAGTTATACATTTTTCTCTCATTACTGATGGTTGTGAGCATCATGTGGTTGCTAAGAATTGAACTCAGGACCTCTGGAAGAGCAGTCAGTGCTCTTAATCTCTGAGTCATCTCTCCAGCCTCAAAACCCTGTCCTGAAAATGAGAAGAAGAAGAAGAAGAAGAAGAAGAAGAAGAAGAAGAAGAAGAAGAGGAGGAGGAGGAGGAGGAGGAGGAGGAGGAGGAGGAGGAGGAGGAGGNAAGAAGAAGAAGAAGAAGAAGAAGAAGAAGAAGAAGAAGAAGAAGAGGAGGAGGAGGAGGAGGAGGAGGAGGAGGAGGAGGAGGAGGAGGAGGAAAAAGAATGTAGGGTTTATTTGGGGATTATAGTTCCAGAGAGCAGAGAGGTTTGGAGTCCTTCACCATGATGGCAGGGAGCATGGCAGCAGCTGGCAGGCATGGCACTGAGCATGTCCCGTCCACAGACAGGAAGCAGAGAGAGTACACAGGGACTGGCAGATCTTTTGAAAGTTTAATGGCCACAGTGACACACGTTCTTTAACAAGGCTATACATACTAGTCCTTCCCAAGGAGCACCAATAATTGGGGATCAATATTCAATTTATGAGCCAATGGGGACCCTTCTCATTCAAATCACCATAGTGACCTTTAACTTCTTGATCCTCCTGCCTCTACTGCCTAAATTCTAAGATTATAGGTATGTGCTGCCATACCCAACCAGTTTGCTAGCTAGTTTGCTTGGTGTTTCCAACACCCCCACCTCATTGATGATAGGCAAGTGTTATACTACCAGGTTATACCCCTGGCCCATTTCTATTCGATTTTATTTTAAAAAAGAAAGAAAGAAAGAAAGAAAGAAAGAAAGAAAGAAGAAAGAAAAGAAAAAGCCATGTGTTGTGGTGTATACCTGTAATCCCAGTACTAGAGAGGTGGAGACAGAAGATCTGGAGTTTGAGGGAAGACATTCCTGTCTCAAAACTAGCAATAAAGACAACAGAACAAAAATGTCTGATGGCTGGTGTTTGGTCCTTAGTTTACTTTTCTACTGCTGTGATAAAACACTACACCCAAAAACATCCCAAGGAGGCCAGGGACCTGGAGGTAGGAACTGATGTGGAGAAGACAGTTTACTGGTTTGTTTAGCTGTTTTAGTTTTTCCAGATAAGGTTATCTTTGTGTAGTCCTGGCTGTCCTGATACCAAGCTAGCTTTGAACTCACAGAGACCCACCTGCGTCAGCAGTGCTGGGATTAAAAGCGTTCACCAGCACAACCTGGCCTCAGCTCACACACACACACACACACACACACACACACACACACACACACACACACACACACACACACACACACACACACATAAAATCCAGTACCACCTGCCTGGGGTGACACCACCCACAGTGGGCAGGGCCCTCCCACACCAATCACTAATCAAGAAAATGCCCCCTCCTACTTGTCTCCAGACCAATTTGATGGAGGCGTTTTCTCAGCTGTGATTCTCATATGACTCTCATTTGTGTCAAATTGAAAGAAAACTCACAGTTGCTGGGTGGTGGTGCACACACCTTTAATCCCAGCACTTGGGAGGCTGAGGGAGGCAGAGCTCTGTGAATTTGAGGCCAGCCTGGTCAGCAGAATGAGTTCCAGGACAGCCAAAGCTACAATGAGAATATCTATCTTGGAAAACCACAACCAAAAAACAGAAAAGAAAAGAAAAGAGAAGAAAAGAAAAGAAAACTAAGAATTTGAAAAATATATCTTGCCGGGCGATGGTGGCGCACGCCTTTAATCCCAGCACTTGGGAGGCAGAGGCAGGCGAATCTCTGTGAGTTCAAGACCAGCCTGGTCTACAGAGCTAGTTCCAGGGCAGGCTCCAAAGCCACAGAGAAACCCTATCTCGAAAAACCAAATATATATATAGGCAGTGAAGGGCAGGCTTATTTTCTTCTATCCTGGATTCTATATTCCAGAGGGTTCAAGATTTCCTAAGAACCAGCAGCATTTCCTCTTCCAGTGGTAACTGTAGACAAAAGATAAAAAGATAATGCTACCCATCCACCAGCAAGATCTTTGGATGCATTTGCCCTGAACTAAGATGTACAGTTGGCTTATGGACAGATTCCAACTCTTAATTCAGGCTGGCAAGAGGAGAGTTATCTGAAATAGAAACAATAAAAGACTGAGGCAGTAAGACAGGAGCTGCTTTCAGTAATGGTATGTTTAAACCTCTGGCCTAACCAGCAGCCATTGTTAGACATCAAATAACTACAGGGATGTCTTCCACATCCTTTTCCTCATTGTGTGTGAGAGAGACAGAGAGCTGGAGAGATAGATGGATGGATGGATAGATAGATAGATAGATAGATAGATAGATAGATAGATTAGATGGGTAAAGGTGGGGTCTCTCAATGGGTATGGTGGTGCACATCATTATTCCCAGCTCTTGGGGAAGAGAAGCAGAGGCAGGTGGATCTCAGAGTTCAAGGCCAGCCTGACCTACACAGCAAGTTCTAGATCAGCCAAGACCGTATAATGAGATCTTGTCAGAGAGAGAAAGGGGGAGAGGGAGAAAGGGACAGGGAGAAGGAGAGTTTATTATTGTTTTTTCAATTTTTATTTCATGCGAGTGGGTGTTTTGCCTGCATGTATGTCCACCAAAGTGCTTGCCTGGTGCCTGGTGTCTGCAGAGGCTAGATGAGGGCATTGGATCCTCTGGAACTTAACGTGTTAACTAGAGTTAACATATAGGTGCTGAAAATTGAGCCAGGGTCCTCTGGCAAAGCAGTCAATCTGCTTAGCTGCTGAGCCATGACTCCAGCCTTCTTTTCATTTAGTATTTATTTATGGAAATGGGGACTCTGTAGCTTAGGCTGGCTCAGAACTCTGTAGTTCAGTCCTGCCTGGGTCCTGATTGCTGGGATTACGAGTGACGTACTGATTTCATACTTGGCTTCAGACCCATTTTTATTTTATTTATTGCTTTTTATTTATTTTTTTGGTGTATATATGACAGAATCCTGTGTTGTTAGGTTGACTTTGAACTCTTTTATATAGCCAAAGATGGCCTTGTTCCTCTTGTCTCCACCTTCCAGGTGCTGGAATTACAGGCATGTACTACTATACCTGGTGTGTGTGTGTGTGTGTGTGAATGAGTGTGTACACTCACTCCAGTGTACGTGACAGCTTTAGTGTTGGGTCTTTGCCTCCCATCTCCAGTGGGAGTGCTGGGATTGCAGATGCTTCTTCATCTCGTATGGCAAATCCACGGTGTTATTTTCCCTCTCCCTTGTATTTAATATGTATTTAGAGGCCAGGTATCAAGTGTCCCAGGCTGGCCTAGACTCCATATATAGCGGAGGATGACCTGGATTCCTGGTCTCCTTTGTCCACCTCCTGAATGCTGGGCTGATGGGAATGTGCCACCACACCTGAGCTTCATGCATATTAGCATTCTGCTAACTAGACTGCATCCCTAGCCCCAAATTTAAAAATTTTGTTTAAACTTATTCTTCTTTTCCCCTCTCCCCCGAGACAGGGATTCTTGATGTATATCCCTGACTGTCCTGGAACTCACTCTTTAGTCCAGGCTGGCCTTGAACTCAGAGATCCGCTAGTCTCTGCCTCCTTAGTACTGGGATCAAATGAGTAGGCCATCATTGCTCCGACGTTTAGACCTGCTTTTAAAGAGCCTTCCCACCAAGCCTTTCCTTGTCTTTCACTGGGCAGGTAATTCATCTGGCACGGTGGCATTGTTTAATTCTGATTGCTCCCAGTAGTGTTTATCAACTGTTTGTATTAGGCTCTATGAGAGACACACTTGCAAGGGGGCCAAACCTTTCAACAGAAACGTGGGACAGTAACATCTGAACTGCCACCAGGTGGCAGCACATACTTTATGCCAGAATGATTCTGAACTGGACTGTCCCGATCTCCCTTAAGAGATGCTGTGAGCTACTAACTACTCTTCCTCAAACAATGCTCTGCCTAGGTTATGCATGTGTTCAAGAACGAAACACAGAAGCATTAAAACAAAAAGGTAATTTTATTATTTAAGCTCCATCGATATTCAGCCTCTTCCAATTTTATTTCCTACCATACATTTTCTTAAACTCAGTTGCCAGCAGGACCACCTTTATTCCATTGTTATTACTATTGTCAGTGCTGGGAATCGAACCCAGGTCCACATGGTACACTCTCTGTCATTGCCTTCTGCCCCAGTCCTATTTCAATTATTTATGTTCCACATATTTGCCAAGAATCTCTACCTCCAGGAAGAGGGAAGTCTTTTCTTTTTCTTTTTTTTTTCCTTTTTTTAAATTGTGGCCCCTAAGTCCTGAGGTTAAGGCCCATATTCCACTGTGTCTATCTGTTCTTATTCTTCTATTGCAGTCTGCTCAGGTATAAGAATATAAACCCTTGAAATTCATGGGTATGGGAAGTGTGAGGAAATCTATACCTGATGGAACAGTTGGGAAAATTCTTATTCCCCACAGAGATATTTCATAATTCTTCAAACCAGCTCGTGATATCTATCCTCTTGAGTCTTCACCAAACCCAATCTCTTCTCTCGGCATTTCGTTTAGTTCTACTTGTTGCTGTTTCTCAAGTCGCTAGGAATTATGTATTAATTTTAGCTTCTTATTACACTACAATCCTCCTGCAGGACATGGCTTTCGATCTAGTAGGACACCTTATTCAAAAGCCGCGCTAGTCTAATTAATTAATTATCAATCGTTTCTGTTGGGCGGGGGGAGGGAGGATTGATTGGCTTATCTTGTATTTACGGTCTCGCCCTCTTTGAGACTCTCTTAGGTTTTCCCCCAGGTGTATTCTCTGCTCTTCGGTTCCGCTTTTTCAACACACTGTCGCTTCTGTTTTTACCTCCACTCCCTTCCTATTGGTTCCCTTCGTCTTCTAAGAGTTGGCGCCCAGCGTTGCTGATTGGCTTCTCTGGACGCCCATTGTGCCCACCCTCGTACCACGTGGCCTTCCTAGCGTTCATTGGACAACCGTACCAGCTCGTTTGTCAAAGATTGACGACCGATTGGCTGCTCTGAGGGAGGCTGGAGGAGGGGGCGGAGCCCCC